AACCACTCTCATTTCGGAATGAAGTAATGATCTGCGCGGTTTCAGGGTCTTTTTAGATAACCGTTTTTTTTTTTGAAAACATTATGCGTAGCATGCCAGCGTCAAGCTTTCCTAGTGGTGTGAAAACCAACTTTTATTATGGTATTTGCACTAAATGCTTGGTTGGTGAGTGAACAACGAATATGGGCAATGGTCGTCAGTTGTTTAGTTGAATTGACCTTGATAGACAAGCCTTGAAGTAATGAAAACGTAAGCACTGCCAATTCTTCCGCTACCGCAACCATTGAGAAACAGTACTTCTGCGTTGTCCATAGACGAAGCAAATTAATGGCATTACTTTACCCATTTTGCCTGAATGAGCAGTGTTCTATGGATGAATCAAGTGCAGTCAAATGTGCGTTATATGTAAAGATTCCCATCTTAGTTCAATGTATTTGGGCAGACTAGATTGGCACCGAGATATAATCCTTTCTGAACGTTTGTTGATCGATTTCGCACGCGCCGTGCGACATTCACAATTTGTGAAGTACTCTTATTCTTGCTCGTGCAGCGCATTATTGAATCCTTCTCAAAAATATGGCATAGTTTCGAAACTGCCGAAAATTGCACTATCGAACAAGTATTATGATGATCTAATGAATAACGACCAACAGAACTTAGCTGTGCACAAAGCATTCTGAGTGTGAAACACGATTTTATTCCAACTGCTAGCGTACTTATAAAGACTCTTTCACAAACCAAGCTTAGTCTAGAAGTTGCAGCGATTCAAGCTTTTGAATCATGTCAGGAATACTACTGAAGAAGCTTTGTCCACTGCAAGAGACCTTTGAAAATCAGCGTATTAGGAACAACCTTAATCGTCAGGAAAGAGTTAGATATCTTTACGCACTGGTTCTAACTGAAGGCAGTACGTCCTTTCATCATTATTTGAGCCAACTTGTCATGTGGTCTGGTAAGGGCTCTTGTACAGCCCGAGACACGTGCTTCGTCCTTACAGACTCATCAGCCGGGCAGAACCCGTCATCTGCCGATCTTTTATAGTCAGTTCTCTCGGGAGCCTTACACTCCTTATAGAGAGTTATCGACGACGTACGATTTACACTCTATGTGAAGTGAAACCTTCACCTAACCAGAGTGTTGTGCACTCGATTGCTCATTGGCTGGTACTTTTATCAAAATTATACCTTTATTTCGAGTACACTCTGGGTTAGGTGAAGGTTTCACTTGACATAGAGTGTAAAGCGTACGTCGTCGATAACTCTCTATAAGGAGTGTAAGGCTCCCGAGAGAACTGACTATAAAAAGATCGACAGACGACGGGTTCTGCCCGACTGATGAGTCTGTAAGGACGAAACACGTGTCTCGGGCTGTACAAGAGCCCTTACCAGGCCACATGACAAGTTGGCTCAAATAATGATGAAAGGATATATTGAAATTTGAGCGTGGTCTAAACAAAGCACTCGAAATAAAGGTATAATGAAGGCAGTACGGTTAAAACATTGGTCCCTTCTTTTTGTGACTACAGAAAGGCCTGCGATACGGCGGCATTCAAGCTCGGAACATGAAAGCCACACTCGGGATTAGCGCAGATCTCTCTCGGAAAGATATTGAGAAGCATATTCAACAAAGCACACTCCTAACCGCCTTTAAGCGCTTTTCCCAGTCACTTGTTTGCAGGATTCTGGCTAATTTAGCCAATCTTTATAAATTATATAGAGGAGAGAGGGCCATGGCCGAGTGTTGTGATAATCCGCGGTGCGAGGCTGAGCCTCCTCTAACACTATAAAAAGGATGTAAAATAAAGCTCGCCGCGTTGATCAATACCTGAGGGATGCGCCATGCACTCGTCTTCATTTTACTGCGTTCGAGATTATTGAATGCATATATGGCCTTTATGATGACTCGCGGTGGCCTCGCGCTGTATCGAGCAGTGCTGCATATCCTCCCAGACAAATCTGAGAGCAGTCTGGTAGCAATTTAGCGGACCCCGGATGAATGGATGGCTTGGTAAGCCATGAGCGCGAGATCAAACCAACTACCTTGTGTGCGAGGCATAGCACCTCTGACGACTGCGCCAGATGCGCTCGAAACGCAGTGTCAGCCTATTTTTGAGATTTCAAGGAGATGAGCTTAATCAGTGTTTCATAACATTCAAGGAGATAACGGAAAAAGAACTGAACGCTGGAATGCTGAGTTATGCACCGTGAAAAAAGGAAAACAGTGAGACGGATCGAATATAATTTAGTTAAGTTTACAAATTATGTAAAAGTAGCCAACTAAAAAAAATTTCATAAAAACACCACCATCCACGCGAAGAGAAAAAGGGCGATATCATCATGCCAAAATTGTTCAACGACGTCATGTAAACATTGGAATGAGCCAACACTGAGTTGAAATTCAATTGCTAAGATTTTTACCATCTTCCCTTCGCTCAGGACACCATTCTCATGGTACTGAGCATCAGTCAGGCGATAGTAATGTTAACCTTACGACAACACCTTCAGAAACATCAGAAAATATTATAATTGAGTTTCACAAAACGGCTTTCATGAGGAACGAGTTGATTTCAAATACTTATTCACCCTTAACGAAATTCGTATCCGGGAGCTTCAATTAAGTTAATCAAGGCCGAAAGGTCAATATGATGAATGATTCAGCTGATTTGTTGAGCAAAAGAAAGCTAGCGGTTTGGGAAGCGTTTGAGAGCATTGAGGTTGCAGTGAAGATAATGTAGAGCACGCGACTTTCTGCTCACTTTTCCGACTCTGCGATTGTCTCTGCCTTGGCATCTACTGATAAACCAATATTACTAGACCTGGTCACCACGTAAGTAGGATGAAAGACTACTTAAGGATGCTGAAGATGCAGTCATAAGGTTTATGTTAGGAGTATTCCTTATTTCGACTTTGGGAGAAAAGGTCACTTCTTTGACTTTCGCTATCGGCCTAAAATTAGAAACCCTGTACTATAGACCATGCTGTTAAAAATCACGTGTGCCTTACGCGTATGCTTCAAAGACGACCAATTAGCAAGAGCACTTAGCGACCTGATTCCTCAAAATATCGCACATACATCAGAATGTCTACCTCTTATGCTCTGTTGTCGCCACAAAAATCCCAAAAAAAAAGATATGATGCTCAAGGAATCCCTACGATCAGAAGAACCCATTCATTACTCGTGCACGCAGCAGAGAAGAATGAAATTCTTGAAGGTTTCTGTTCGATTCATTCCACGATTAGCAGAAGGAAATCCGCACAAACTAGCTCTCGGAACATCGCTGACTCAGCACATTGCCTTCTTAAAAGCGTAGGAAGGATACTGCAGCATTACAGATCTTGCCCAGCAATCACTTAGAAACGACACAGAACGACTGAACAGGGAAATGCTAAACGCGGAACTGTTACAACACGGAACTGTCTATTCAGCTAAAACCACCGTTTAAACATCACGGCCGACGATTTTCGACTTATTCTTCCAGAACAAAATAGAATTTGTCACTTTCCATTTTTAAGAATTGTCCATAATATCTTTTAAGATCAGAGAAACTCGTGCATTTCGTCATTCACTACTGAAGTAGGACTACCATGGTAGAATAGACGTTTACTAGAGCACTTGCCAATTCATTGCAGGTGCAGATGTTTGTGGAGAGCTCTTCAAAATGAGTCCATTCCATTGTATGCAGCGCAGAATTCTGAGAACTACAGAACGAGTACTACCATTACCCAGTGACCAAAATGTCGAAATCGAATTGAATGCAGCTTGTTAATCCTGTGTGTTAAAAAAATATTCACATCAAAGATATGTTTTAGTAATTCAATATACGGAATATGTTGTATTGCTCGCCTATCACAGGAAATCAACGAATTTCACCTCTCAGATGATTTTTCCGAAATATTTGTAGAATTCCGACTAATCACCAAGTAAGTTGTAACCGCTACGCAAACGAATGACACTTCACTAAACGAAGTATACAATGAAGTTTTGTTGTGTCTGCACGTCGCGAAAATGACGCGAGAAATGTTGGCGTTCCATAAACATTCCCCATAACTTAGAATCATCTCAAACGCAATATTAGAAAACAGGGTTTTTTAACATCTATATATTAAAAATTTTATCAAAATGTAGAATTCCTGTGTGTCACGGCAAGGTCTGACCCCTTAGTGCAGGCACTCTGCCACGACAAATTCTCGAATAATTTCTCTTTTGTCTCTTTGTATTGGAGGATTCTTGGTCAGATTTTATTGCTCGTCGTGTCTCTGAGTTACTCAGTAAAATTTCGTAGTTCTTTGTTGCGATTTGTGCCCTTAACATGTTGCCAAAGACATTTCATAGCAAATGCTATGCTTCATTTTATCAATCGATGTCTTTCTTTACAGATTTTGAGCAAATCGTACTTGTGATTAGCTTGTTTTGTAGGTTGTAAATTCTTATTCATCGGAAAGTCAGAATTATATGTCGCAACATTCCAAATGAGATGGTGGGAATTCAATCTAAACCGGGGCACCTGAGAGCTTGACGTATTCACTAAAATTTCCTCTTACGTAATTTCCTTCACGTACCTTGTTCTCTTTGGAAGCTAAATATAAACTTAACTTCAGTGGTACATTTTCGTTTGCGTAAAGAAACCTCAATGAAAATTTGTTTCAAAGAATTTTATTCTGAATTAGGCAGGTTGGGATTACCCTAAAGCTCTTGGAAAAGTCGAAGACGTCCGACACCGACGTCATCCACGTATAAGTACTGAGTGCCAACCCGCTGCTGTCTTGTGAACGCTCTGATATCACCTGTATCACCTGTCGTTCCGTTGATCGTCGAGTGACTCGAGCGGGTACCGGCAACTCTTCCATTTTCCCTATCGCGTGCAAAAGTAGCCCAATGGGTCCTCTTCGCTCTAAGGATTCGCCAAGCATCGTATCTTTCTTCTTCGTTCTGATAAAAAGAGTGAAAAATTTGCTTTATCTTAGTTTAGACTTAATAATGTAGAGTAGTGTGGGGAAACATTCGCGTCAACCGGGATTCGAACCCAGATCTCACTCTTTCCGGAAGCGCGTGCTGAGCAGTTGCACTATGACGGTCGTTTTGCACTTCACTCTTTCTGCGCTACAACGCGTTATCTGTCAACAGCTAACCGTCAACGGTCTGGCGGCACAGCCACTATCGGCACTGAGCCCACTAGAGTGACATCTGGGTTCGAATCCTGGCTGACGCATGTGTTTTTGCACACCACTATACATTATTGGGTTTTTTGTAAGATCGTACCACCGCAAGAGGCGGTCGAATCAATGAATTCCGAATGATTAGCTCAGACTGTTTTTTCAGACATTTAGGAGACTGAATGAGAATTCTTACTAACCCGGCCAGACTTCCTATAGATCACTTCATAATTACTTTTCTAGCTGCAGTCACGGTGGTGTTGGGATGTGGAGTGGTGCCTGCAGGTCCAGGTAAACTGAAATGAAGATTGTATGCACTAGACTTATTTTACCTATAAGCAAGACTAGGAGGTTTGATAAGAATATATTCATCTAGAACATGTTTGTGTTTGAGAACTATTTCACTCCGAGACCATCGATAAAAATGCTTCGAATCTTGGATGAGAATAGAAGCAAGCCCCAAAACCTATTCAAATCGTAGTCTAGGTTTTAACTAATCCCTACAAAAACTATGAAGTTTTGTTGCAGGGAGCACTCGGACTTTTAATGTCACTGGCTTCACAACTCTACCTGTTGCCATGGTTTATACTGATAAGTCCGAAGTTTTTGCTCAAGTTGCTGGCATTTCAACTAGCAAGCGGCAAGCTCAGACATTTGTAGAACAGCTTGTAATGGAAACGGTGAGTTAGATACTTTCAATTAAAACTATTATTTGTTGCAAATATTGAAGAAGCACAGCACACGAGCTGTTAATTTACAGCAATACTTTAACCACTCACTTCTTCCATATCCTGCATCTCTTCTAACAAGTTGGACAGAAACAATATCAGGCAAACTCTGTCAACAAGTGAAAGACTTTGTTTTGAGGTCATTGTTGTTCTTGAAAGCCAAGGACGTAGCGCACTCTTACCTGAGGAGGTAATCTCGGCCATTTTGCGTCAACTTACTGTTAACGTCATCTACGAACCACTGCCATGCCAGAAAGTCTTCTCACTCTGAACTGGAAACGAATAGTGGGTTTTCCACATTGCATATCTATTTGAGATCCAAGCAAAAATTCAATGCTTTATTCTATTTGACCCGTCCCTCAATTTCTGTTACGTGAGTCCAGTACTTCTAGCATTCAATCCGTTTCTCAGCAAACGATTACTTGAGGATTTCATCTGCTTCACGAACGTCGCAAAGCTGGTCGGCAGATCTCATTGCAATTTCAACGGTAGATAGGCTAGGCGCTCTTTGAGGCGTTTATTGATCGATTACCGAAGAGTGCTGGGGGATCAACCAGCGCCGATCATACTAACCACTCGGACACCGCCACCCCTCTCGCCTCCATAAGAAATTCAGCAGAAATCACAAAATCAGAACCGTGTTAATTGTTCTCCGAAAAACAAACAGTTTCGGTAAATCAAGGAAATTGTCCTGTAATCTGCAAACGACCATCATAGTGGAAGTGTTATTGAAACCTTCAAGATAGATTTAATATAACGAGTTTTTAATGAGTTTTTATGAGATTGACATGGTATCCGATGTGTCATCTAGTGGTGTGCATACTTTAAAAAGAAAAGAAATTCAGTGCTCAAAATTCTTTTGGCTTTATACAATATCTCATTGTGATACAAGGCGTTTTTCAAAAAATCATACTTTTTTACAGTTGACGACAATTGAAAGAGAACTGCATCATTACTGGTGGCAATACGGTGACAGGAATTTGCAGAAAAAGTGGTGTGATATGATGTGTATGCCAGCTATGATGACTATACTTGCCATTCCCCCACAGCACTTGTCAATTTCGGGAACTATATCGGTCTGAATCGCTAATTTTTGTATTCAACAGCGTTTTGTAGAAAAATATACCTATGCAGACCACAAACATCATCATGGCGAATTGGTCGAGACAGATGTGGCAAAATGTAGTGAACAGAGCGGTTCGAATGTTGACATCGGGTTCGTTCAAATCGCACTTCTTCTCGGCAATTGCCACTGTCAGCTGAAACTAAAAGTGGACTGTGATGTGTCTGAAACAAACATTTCTATCTGACCGATATTTGTTGTAGCAATGACAACATCAATAAACTGACAAACAACATGAGTGTTCATTAGTCAGAGTAACACAGTAAATTACATCAAAGTGAGTGGTTCGATGATTTTTCTTTCAGTGCCTTCTTGATAAGTAGCAGAGAAATTTGCAAATGATTAACCACAGGAAGAATATAACGCAACATTTTTACCGTTAGTCAAACGTAATAAGAAGATCTTTCCATGAACCAAGCACAGTAATAGAGAATCAGCATTTTGCACGTTGTCGAGTAATTGCAGAGCATAGTTATTAGGTGTTTTCAGAAGTTTTGGCACAGAGCAATAAGCAATAAATCTAGTAATATGCATAGATTATTTGTTGCCATTCCATAGACCGAATCTCAACAATTTTGTTGCGGAGCCAAACGTATATCATATTTTGCACTCAAGGTGGTTTGTTCGTCGCTTGAACTTTACATCGGGTTTATTTGGCACTGAGAAACAAAAAAAATTTGCACCTATAGAACGATAAAACAAATCCTCCTCACAATTTGTATGCAAAAATATAGAAATTTTCCAGGAAAAGGGAAGAAAATTTCTAACTAGGCAAAGAAAATTGCGCAGCTCCTGAATGATGGCCTTTTTGAGGTTGTAGTTGAAACCGGTGCGCACGACGTCTCTTAATTAAAAGTTTTTCTCCATTTCTGCGAAGTTTTTAGGTTCTCTGTAAAAGAATTGTAAAGAAGACCGTTCTATCGTTGTATAGATAAAAATTTTTCAAATTCACATTGCCAAATAAATCACTTTAAAGTTTGAGCGATGAGCTATTTACTTCGAATGCAAACATGATTTCCATTTTGCTTTAACACCGCTCTATATAAACCGTTTCAAGAAGCAGTTTTAAAATCAAATTTGTCCAGATTCGGCTGTCGAATGACTACTAGTAATCCAAGTACGATGCTGAATTTGGTGCTTATTGCTCTAATGCCAAAGCTATGAGAAGACCTAATGGAATGCGAGATATGTAGTGTAGCAGCTGAAGAAATGTTCTTTTTTGGAAAGATGTGATTTTGTCATTGAAACACAAGAGATTTTCCATCACATAAACGTTGTTTTTGTTGAAATAATGAAGCCTATATATGCCTTTGTAATGATGTCTCATTATTCTATATTGAAGATTTTCTCTTAGAATGTAATTTATTATATAAGTTCCATTTGCAAGGTTCAATACCTGTTCAGGAAACTAAATCCTTGGCCGGAACTCAATTATAAAGCAATCTGTTGGGGGAAATCACTCACCAAAGAGGTACAAGTTGAAGCCGCAAAGATCCGAGATAGAATTTCTTACACACAGCGTACAGAATGAGTGCACATGACACAGTGCTAAGAGGTGCCCATCAATAAGCGCTCATAGTCGGTTGAGCGCCAAGCGCTTGGCAAGTCCTTCATCGCTTCGGGTCACCAAATTGGCATCAAATCCAATTGAGAAGAGAGCAAAAGTATAGATATATCATTAAGTCACTGTACATGCAGCCATCTCTGGCTTGATTATATGGATTTAGCAAAATATTGATTCCAACACTGAGTTTGGTTCATGGAAAGAATTTATTACGCTTTAATAGCGGTAAAGGATTTACGTATGGAATCCAAAATTCTTTTTTCCAGCTCAGTAGCGGATTTTTTGGTTTTACAAAGGAAGATTTGATTACCTCTGCTATCGATCGCTCTTCTACGGACCCGGTAAAAACGATTTAATCTGATAAGAAAATTATATGTTTTGAGCCGATATTTCTAGTGCTATATAGGTGCCTATTTCGTCCTATTGGGACTAATCGTAGCACCCTCCTTGGCTTTTTGATCCCTTGAGGCTAAATAATCCTCTAAAGAAATCGACACTGAGTAAGAAATAATCACCCCAAGTTGGATGATGGCATATTACCTGAGTTGTGGTGACCGGCAGTCGAGCTTGCTGCTTTTATAATGATCGTACCCCTGCTATCGATTGACGGAACCGAGGAAGAGTGCTACCGATGAGTCCCAACAAGACGGAATAGAGGCCTGTTATAGCACTAGACCTATCGGCTTAAAACTTATAATATCCTTATAAGATTTAATTTTAAACAAACTTTGTCTCCACGAGGAGCTATCTGAAAATTGCTGAAGACTCTTTCTTGAATGTGCTTTCAATAAAAAGAACGCCCACTTGTCCTGAAATTCTCCACTTTTCGTTGCGAATTGTGTGGAACACTGTTGCTTTCTGTGAATATGGATCGTGTATTCATTTTTTTTATTCGGACTCGGGAAAGCGTTTATATTAGACTATGAGTTACTAAAATCGTTTGATAACTTGATCAATGGAAGTTTTAGTACTGGGTTTGGCTTGTAAAATACTTTCATTTAATATTTTAAGAACGAAAAGAGGTTACGTCTCGCTTTTGAAGTCCGTTGTTTCAACTTTGTAGCAGAACCTTTGACATTGTATGGTAAACGTTTGACTGTAAGCAAACCTTATAGTTACGAAAAGACGGATCATTACTGGAGTAATTTTTCTGCACAAATTTTTCATAGAAAAACCACCAAATTGGCTAGAAATTTGAAAAAAAAGAAGCTATTATTAGAAAAGAAAACTCAAAAATGTGCTTTTTACAGTACGAAAGATACATTCATGAGACAACAGCATATTTCCAATCTTCCTGCACATTTTTATTTCAAAGTCGTACCATCTACAATGTACAACTTCTAAGTGAACATTGGTCATTATGAAGCCACCTTTACTCGTACACAAGCACCGTGTAGTTGTGACAATCAACACTGATACCTTTTTTAACTACACCATTATTAGTCATTCGTTAGCTTGAAAAATGTTAAATCAAGCATTAGGTTTGATTCTCTTTTTACAGTACTTA